CATATATCCAGCCCTGTTCATCCCATCTGTTTAGCATCTTCACGATGGCTGAACCATCTTTTCTTACATGGATGTCGTAAAAACATCCTCTTTGATTTTTTCACACATACCACTGATCCATTCCAATCATTCTTCATGACAGTCAAGGTAACTTGACAGTAGTACACACCTTATTTTAGTCTTCTTTCTCATTAAAATCCTTCCATGACTCCTGTCTGTTCTTAAGATAAATCCAAAATCCTTAATATGTTCTATAACATATTCAATAGTTTCATCTCTTGTAACACTCTCTCTTGAGGTGAGGTCTTTGGCCCTTTCCCAACATTTCCCCTCTCTCTGCCTCATGACCTTCCCAAATGCTCCTCCTTCTTTGGAAAATACTTTTTTTTTTTACTTTTAAAAAAAATTTTAATTAATTAATTTATTTTTGTTACAGATGTTTCTCCTTTTCCCCCCACTGATTCCCCCTCCCCCATCCTCACCCTATCTCCAGCTTTATTGTCCATGTCCATTGTTCATACATACATACATATAAATTCTCCCTGACCAACCCCTCTCCTGGGGATTGTCAGTCTGTACCCCACTTCCATATCTTTGGGTCTATCCTATTCCTCAGACTGTTATGATAATTATATTCCACAAATATGTCAATCATATGATACTTGCCTTTTTCTGTTTGGCTTGTTTTGCTTAGGATGATGCTTTCCAGGTCCCTCCATGTCATCTCAAAGGATAAGAGATCTTTCTTTCTTACAGCTGCATAGTACTCCATTGTGTATATGTACCACCACTTTTTTATCCATTTGTCTACTGATGGACATTTGGGCTATTTCCAGATCTTAGCTATTGTAAATAGTGCTGCTACAAACATCGGGGTACATATATTCTTTCTAATTGGTGTTTCAGGCTTCTTAGGGTATATTCCTAGAAGTGGGATCACTGGGTCAAATGGAAGTTCAATTTTTAATTTTTTTGAGATAACACCATATTGTTTTCCATAGTGGCTGTACCAGTCTGTATTCCCACCAGCAATGTACTAGAGTCCCCTTGCCAACACTTGCTGTTTGATGATTTGTTGATGGTGGCCATTCTGACAGGTGTGAGGTGATACCTCATTGTTGTTTTAATTTGCATCTTTCTGATGATTAGTGATGTTGAGCATCTCTTCATATGTCTCCTAGCCATTTGTATGTCCTGTTTGGAGAGGTGTCTATTTAGTTCCTCTGACCATTTTTTAATTGGGTTCTTTGTCTTCCTTTTGTTGAAGGCAATATGCTCAATTGATATTTGACAAAGGTGGAAAGAGCATACAGTGGAGTAAAGACAGCCTCTTTAATAAATGGTGTTGGGAAAATTGAACAGCTGCATGCAAAAAAATGAAACTAGACCATAAACTTACATCATACACAAGAATAAACTCAAAATGGATAAAAGGCTTAAATGTGATCCATGAATCCATAAAAATCCTAGAAGAAAATGTAGGCAACAAAATTTCATACATCATACACAGCAGAATTTTTACTGATACATCACCTAAGGCAACAGAAACAAAGGAGAAAATGAACACATGGGACTACATCAAACTCAAAAGCTTCTGCACAGCAAAAGATACAATCATGAAAATGGAAAGGCAACCCACTGTATGGGAGAGCATAATTGCCAATGATATGTCAGATCAGGGGTTAATTTCCAATATATATAGAGAGTGCTCATACAACTCAACTAAGGAAAATACTTTCTACTCCTCTATCCATTTCTTTATCCATAGGTCCTACTAATCCTTTGTATTTTAAATTAAATATCCCTTCCTCAGGGAATCCTTTACTGATCGCAATAAAAACCATGTGAATAGGTAAGATCACCGATTATATACTCAGCCCAATATACTTCATTGGCAAATAATCACTGACATTAATTGTTTTATACTTGTTTTCTCCTTTAGACTTTAAAGTTTGAATGAACATGGACTGTATCTCATTCTAGTTTTACGATGTTTACATCATTGTTTTTTTTTTTTTTTTAAATCTTTATTGTTGGATGTAAAATGTATTACAGATGTTCCACATTTTTCTGCCAATGACCCCCTCCTCCCCACTCCCGCCCCCCTCCCGCCTTTTCTCACACTATTGTCTGTGTCCATTGGTTATGCATATAAGTTCTTTGGTTTATTTCTTCCCACCCCCCAACCCCTTTCCCTTTGAGGTTTGTCAGTCTAGCAATGAATTTGTACTTCTTAATCTCTTCACCTTTTTCACCCATTCCCCCAAACCCCTCCCAACTGGCAACCAACAAAATGTTCTCTGTATCTATGAGAATGTTTCTGTTCTACCTGTTCATTTTGTTTGTAGATTCCATTGTTGATAGATATGTATTCATTGCCATTTTGTTTGTTCATACATTTTATCTTTTTCTTCAAAAAGACCCTTCATCATTTCATATAATAACGGTTTGGTGGTGATGAACTCCTTTAACTTTTTCTTGTCTGGGAAAGTTTTTATATGGCCATCAATTCTAAATGACAGCTTTGCAGGATAGAGTAATCTTGGTTGTAGGTTCTTGCTTTTCATCACTCTGAATATTTCTTGCCACTCCCTTCTGGCCTGCAAAGTTTCTTTTGAGAAATCAGCTCACAGCCTAATGGGAACTCCCTTGTAGTTAAGTAGCTGCGTTTCTCTTGCTGCTTTTAAGATTCTCTCTTTGTCTTGAACCTTTTGCATTTTGATGGTGATGTGTCTTGGTGTGGGCCTCTTGGGGTTCATCTTGTTTGGGACTCTTTGTGCTTCCTGGACTTGTATGTCTGTTTCCTTCACCAAGTTAGGAAAGTTTTCTGCCATTATTGTTTCAAACAGGTTTTCGATTTCTTGTTCTCGCTCTTCTCCTTCTAGCACGCCCAAGATGCGAATGTTGGCACGCTTGAAGTTGTCCCAGAGGCTCCTTACAGTATCCTCATTTTTTTGGATTCTTTTTTCTTTTTGCTGTTCTGATTGGGCATTTTTTGCTTCCTTATATTCCAAATCGATGGTTTGCTTCTTGGATTTACATACTCTATTATTGAAACTGTGTAAATTATTCTTTATTTCAGTTAATGCCTCCTTCTAACTGTGTATCCATGATTTCTAACTGGCCCTTTTTTATGCTCTTGAGGCCCTCACTAAGTTCACTGAGGTTCTCACTAAGTTCATTAAGCATCCTTATAAGCAGTGTTTTGAACTCAGCATCTGTTAGGTTGCTTATCTCCATTTCACTTAGTTCTTTTCTTGGGGTTTTGTTCTGTTCTTCCATTTGGGACCTGTTTCTTTGTCTCCTCATTTTGGCTGCCTCCCTGTGTTTGTTTCAGTGTATTACTTAATGAGAGGTATGGGGCTCGCTGAGACCAGATGCTGCTCATTTGAAAGAATTTAGGAAAACCTGAAGCAGGATCCAAGACAGGCCAATCCTATGGTTAAGCAACTGGCAACAGCTTGGGTGGGCTTGAAAGTTGTGTGGGGCAGGGCGGGGCCTCAGGGAGTCAACGGGGCGGGGTTACCAGTGTGAGCCAGGTTGCTGGAGTCCCAGATGTGGAGGCTGTCTGCCGCCCCAGGGAAGAGCTCACCAAAGGAACAGAGGCCTCTGACAGCATGTTTGTCCCGGAGAAAGCCCCCTCTCCAGCCCTCGCTCCAGTGCCAAACAGCTCAGTTCTTCCCTGTATGTCTCTGGCGCCCCTCGAGCTGCCTCCCCTCCAAGCTTAGAGGGAGAGAGTCCGATAATTTCTTGTGCGGGCCCTTTAAGGAGCTGCCTGGGGCTCCAGCTGCTTAAGTTTCCCTGAGCCTCAGTTCCTGCTGATTTTTCCAGCCAGAAGTTATGGGGACTTCTCTTCCTGGCACTGGAACTCTGAGCGGGGCACCTGGTGTTGGATGGGGACCCCTCAGTACTCAGGAAGGACCTTCCCAGCTGAGGTATCCTCCTGATTTTTATCCGCCAGACTTGGGTGTGGGACCAGCCTGTCGCAGCGCCGTCGCCCCGCCCCTCGTGCTTCCGCCCCTCCTACCAGTCTGGATGTGGCTGCTGCTTTAATTCCGTAGTTGTAGGACTTCCATTCAGCTTGATTTCAGGCGGTTTTGAATGATGGTTGTTCTGTAGTTTAGTTGTAACTTTGATGTGATTGTGGGAGGACGTGATACCGCGATTACCTACTCTGCCATCTTGACCGGAAGTCATCATTGTTTTTCTTATACCTAGGTGAAAGCATTGCATCCAGTAGGTGCTCAATAAATATTATCTATCACTTTTTAGGTACATGTATAGCTTTTAATTCAATAGAGTAAATATGAACAATAACTGTAATACATTTTTTATTACACTGTTAAAACTTCAGAGCACATAAAATATTCAAATTTTTTCTTATTTTTAAGTATGAACAAAGTATTCAGGTGAACCACTTTTTCTTGGAAAATAATGTTGTTTTTTTTTTTTTTTTTAAATCTTTATTGTTGTATTACAGATTTCCTTCTATACCCTCCTCCATTAACACCCTCCTCCCTGCCCCCCTCCCACTGTTGTCTGTGTCCATTGTTTATGCATACATGCACATAAGTTCTTTGGTTTATATCCCTCCCTTCCCTCTGAGGTTTGTCCGTCTGTTCCCCACTTTCATGTCTATTTTGTTCGTCAGCTTATTTTGTTCATTATGTTCCACAAATAAGTGAGATCATGTGATATTTGTCTTTCTCTGATTGGCTTATTTCTCTTAGCATTATCCTCTCCAGGTCCCTCCATGCCATCTCAAAGGGCAAGAGATCTTTCTTTTTGGGCAATTATGTCTTTTTCTCTTAATATCACATGATGCCTGTACAACATATAGGTGAATAGTTGGTAAATTCTTGATAAAGTTTTAAGAGGGCTTTCCACTGCCCTAATTCTTTGACTTAGCTATTTAATTTGTTTTTTTTTGTTTTTTTGTTTTTTTGTTTTTTTGGTTTAATGTTATCCTATGAATTCTAGGAACCTGATACAAAATTCCTAAGGAACTCATTGGAAGATACTTTAAACGATACATCACCATGTTTTACTAAAAAATATCCCTCTGCCCCTGGACCATATTCAAGAATTTTACCCTCTTCCAAGAGGTGAGTTCCTTCTCAAGCTGGTACATTGTCTAGAAAGGTATTGGTGACCATACTTATCAAGTTAAAAGCTACTTTTTAGCCCCAAAGTATTTAGTCATTCTCTACTAGGAGTCTACTAGGTCTCATGCAATTAAAATTCAAATTAGACTTGTCTTTAATTAGTATAAGATTGATATTATCCAAACTAAATACAAATGACAAAAAATAAATAAATATATATCCCAAACTATGTTTACAGCTCTTTCTTATTTAGGGCTATAGTTTTACCTATGCACTAAATGATGGTGTTTTATAACCTCAATTTGGGTTTGAAATACATTTAAGTTTTTTAATTGTCATATAGTCTGGGGCAGGGAGGGGGCTATGTATGATGAAGGAAAACCCCCACTGGAATCACATGTGCTCTTGTACCTGATTTGAGTCAGACTGATTACCTGTATGTGATTATACTGATAGAAAATACTCATGTTTGGACCTGCACACCAAATTGGATTTTTATAAGCAGCTATTGCTAACAGAATTGCTCCTGTATTTCTTTCTGAACTGTATCATACAAGAGAAACTTAGGAATATGTCTTGGTTCTCTTTTCTTCATATCATCTTTCAGCGGTTTCAAATTAACAAAGGTTAATGGTGAGAATAATATCTTCTCTTTGTGTGTTAGCATATATGTACAAATTCAGAATGATATTAAGATGAACATGTGCTTTTTATATTCTGGATTTAATTTCATTTTCAGATTCTAAACATATAGATGTTAAAATCTGTGCTTAGGTATAGATTTTATGTCTCTTTATGAAAAAAATAATGTGATTTTTGGGCTGTCTGATAATGACCTATTTATCTGGCTTATACCTAAGAAGTTTTCCTTCAGTTATTTATTTTATTTTAAAATTTAATTATTCCAGTCATACATAAATATGTCTGCATTGCAAAAGATGTAAAACAACACAAGCAAAGCAAAAATCCCTCCTGGTTATCACATCCCTCTCTCTTAATCTCAGTCCCTTTTCTAGCAGTGGCCATAACTAGATGTTTGATATGTATTTTTTAAAAATATATTTTAAATATATCATGTAAATATATCAATAAATATATAATGAATTAGATCAAACCTCTCTCTTTAAAAAAAAAAATATATAATTTTAATTGTTCTTTATTAAAGAATTGAATTTATTATCATAAACTTCTCCACAAATAAAATATTAGGCCTAGACGGGTTCACTGGTCATTTCCAACAAATATTTAAGAAAGAAATATGCCAATTTTATACAAACTCTTACATAGGATGGGAGAAAACATTTTATACTTTTATTGATTTTTAGAAAGATGTGAAAGTGACACATTGATCGGCTGCCCCTACTGGGGATGGAGCCCAAAACTGGGGCATGTGCCCTGACCTGGAATCGAACTGGAAACCTTACAGTGCCTAGGACCATGTTCAACCAACTGAACCACAGTGGCCAGGGCCCCTTCTCTTGTTTAAAACTCTCTAATGGCTTCCCACTTCACTAGGCATGAAATGTATGTCTCTCTTCTTGGACTACAGGGCCCTTCAGGTTCTGGTCCTTGCTTATTTCTCTAACTTATTTCCTGCACTCCCCCACTTGCTTACTGTGGTTCAGGAACACTGGGTCATTCCATTTCTTTAATATGTCCTGCATCTTCCTCCCTTAGTATATCATCATGAGCCCTTTTCTCTCCCCAGGACCATCTACACCCAGCCTTTGCATGGCTGGTACCCTCTCATCATTCAGATCTTACCTTAAATACTATTTTCTCAGACAGGTCTTTTCTCAGAAGCTATTCTAATTATTTAGTCTCCCACCAGGTACTCTCTTGCTAATTATTCTGTTTGAGTATTCACATAACTTACTACAACTTAGAATTACACATTCAAAAACTCCCCATGAAAATGATCTGCTTTCTTCATTAGAACATAAGCCTCATGAGGGCAGGGTCTTTGACGGGCTTATTCACTGGTTTATATCTCCAGTGCCTGGATAGCACCTGGCGCACAATCACTACATGTCGATGAAAGAAGACTGGAAAGCCTGTTCACATTATGATTCATATGAATGTTTTAAAAGTCAAGTGGAATTGGATACAGTTTCTATTTATAGTTGTGTGTCATAAGTTACTTAACTTTTTAAAGTTTTCTCACTATTACAATAATAATAGAAATTGCTTCATCAAATTGTTGTCAGAATATTAACTGGGATAATGCCAGCAAAGTAATTGGTCTTATCCATGATATATATAGTATGTGCTCATAACAGCTAAAAGGAGAAAGAGGATAGGATTGTGGCTGACTTTTTTTTTCAATCCTCACCCAATGATATCTTCCATTGATTTTTAGAGTGGAATGAGGGAGGGAAAGAGAAAAGAGAGAGAAAACATTGATGTGAGAAACACATCAGTTGGTTGCCTCCCTCATGACCCTGACTGGGGCCAGAGGGCCGGAGACTGAGCCTGCAGTGGACAGGGTCTGGGGCATGGGGATCAAACCTGCAGCCCACGTATATGCCCTTGACCAGGAATTGAACTGAGACCCCTTGGTCCGTGGGCTGACACTCTAACTGCTCAACCAAACTGGCCAATTGGGATCATGGCTGATCTTAATTAGATGTTGCTCTTTTGTCTCTCCCCCACCCCCCCAAAAACCCACAATGATTTGGCATTCATCCATGGGAAAAAAACATCTTTTGGGAGCTGTGACATCTAACACCATATGTCACGTGACTCGAGAGGAGTCTCACCACCCCGTGCGTCAGGTGATAGGCATACAGACCTCAGTGTCGGTTTTGGACCTTGCAGTGGCCCATAAACTGGCACCAGCCACTTTTGATTATGGTCCAGGAGTCCCTGGAAGACACTTTCTTGGATAATCACCCACCAATGAGAGAGCCTTTGTGAACATCCGGGTTTCCAGCAGAGAAGTTCCAGTACACCATGGGAGCAAAACAAAACAAAACAAGAACAAAGACACCAAGTTTGGAGGCATTGGAGAAGGTAAAATAAGCAGTTTTACTTTACCTGTGTCACCCTCCTCCAAGGCAGCACAGCTTAGGGCCAAGAAGAGTCTTCTAAGCCCTAACAAATAAAATAAAATAAAATGAAAGAGGAGATAATATAACTGGTCCACAGAAACACAAATTTCATAAGAGACTACTATGAACAATTATGCACTAACAAATGGGTGACCTAAAAGTAATGGATACACCCTGAAAATATAAAACCTACCAGGGCTGAATCCTGATGGGATAGGAAATCTGAACAGACAATTTACTAGTAAGGAGGTTGAATCAGTAATAAAAAAATCTCCCAAAAACAACAACAAAGCCTAAGACCAAATGGTTTCTCTCATGCTCATTTAATGAAGAATTAATGTCAATTTCTTTCTATCCCAAAAATTGAAGAGGAGGAAACACTTCCAAACTTATTTTATGAGGCCAGCATTACTCTACTACCAAAGCCAGATAAAGACACAACAAGAAAACTACAGATGAATACCTTTGATATAGATACAAAAGTCCTCAACCAAATATTAGCAAACTGAATTCAACAACACATTAAAGGGATCATATTCCACAATAAAGTGAGATTTATCCCTGGGATGCAAGCTGGTTCAACATATGCAAATCAATAAAGATGATACATCACATTAATAGATAAAAGATTAAAATCCTATGATTATCTGAACAGATGCCGGACAAGCATTTGACATAATAAAACATCTTTTCATGGCAAAAAATAAAAATCTTAACAAATAGGGTATAGAAGGAACGTACCTCAACATAATAAAGGCCACATATGACAAACCCACAGCTAACCTCATTCTCAATAGTGAGAATTTGAAAGCCTTTCCTCTAAGAACAGGTAAATATAGGGGTGCCCACCCAGTCTTACCACTACTATTCAATGTGGAAATTCTATCCAGAGCAATCAGGCAAGAAAAAGAAATAAAAGGCACCCATATTTAAAAGAAAGAAGTAAAGCTGTCTTAGTTTGCAGGTGGTATAATCAAATATGTAGAAAATCCTCAAGATTCCACCAAAACACTGTTAGAATTAATCAACAAATCCAATAGTTTCAGGATAAAAAAGTCAGCATTCAGAATCAGTTGCACTTCTATACACTAACAACAAAATCTCTGAAGAATAAATAAAAAACCAATACCATTCATAATAACACCAAAACCTATAAAATACTTAGGAATAAATTTAACCAAGAAGGGGAAAAGATCTGTGAACTAAAAATTATGGGACCTGATGAAAAAAAAAATTGAAGAAGATACAAAAAAAAAAAAAAAAAAGTAGATAATCTGTGTCATAGATAGGAATAATTAATATTATTAAAATGCTCATACTGCTCTGGCCAGATGGCTCAGTTGATTGGAGTGTCTTCCGTACTCCAAAAGGTTGCAGGTTCAATTCCCTGTCAGATTGCAGGTTCAATTCCTTTTCAGACAACATATCTAGGTTCTCTCTCTCTCTCTTCCTTTCTCTAAAAAAAAATTTATAAAAACATATCTTCAAGTGAGGATTGAAAAACAAATGTTCATACTACCCAACCCAACACCAGATTCAATATAAAGCTTATCAAAATTTCAATCACATTTTTCAAAGAATAAATGATTTATTCAAATGGAAGCACAAAAGACCCCAAACAACCCAAACAATCTTGCCAAAGAAGAACAGAGCTTGAGGCATCACACTCCCTGATTTCAATCTATACTACAAAGTCAAAGTAATCAAGACAGTATGGTACTGGCGTAAAAACAGACCTGTAGACCAATAGGACAAAATAGCCCAGAAATAAAACCCTGCATATGTAGTCAACTAATATTTGACAAGAGAGCCAAACATACTCAATGGGGAAATAATACACTCTTCAATAAATGGTGTTGGGAAAACTGAAGAATCACATGCAGAAGGAGGAAATTGGATCCCTGTGTTACATCACTTACAAAACTTAACTCGAAATGGATTAAGGACTTA